TTTTTGTTCTGCTTCTTTTAGAAAAACAGAGAGAAGCGAGCAGAGGACTGTTGTTCACACGGTGTGCATGTAATATTATACATGTACACACATACAGGACACTACAATCTGTAATCATATGACCGAACACCTGCTACACACATGCCTGGATGGATGAAACCACAATAAACCATTGATCTCTGGATCCTACCTTAATGTGCAGAGACTACATTTACACAAATAAGCCGATGAGAATGTTTATGGCTATTGACGGCTAGTTTGGCCTATGAGTTGATAAAGTCTCGTCTCCTCTAAACAGACAAACATCCAGATGAGCAGAAATGTAAACTCAAAAGTTCAACAGCTAAATGTGTCATTTCATATACTAACAATTGAAACAAACGTAGGATAGACATCCAATGAAACTAAAACACTATCAGACTTTCTACTGAAGAAAGTTCATGAAGAAATAAAAGTGCAATCTGTGAAGCCGTGGGACTTGGTGTGAAAATACTGCAGAGGATGAGAAAGGAAAACACAACTGACTTCCTGCACTTGATTCTGCACCATCTGTGCAGTTCTGAAGACATCCTGTTATGCTCTTACTCGTCAGTTCAGTGCAGAACTCCTGAATCTGTACAGCGTTTGGACTGAAGGAAAAGGACCCTGAAGAAGGAGGGAAGAGCAGTGGTGTGAGAAAAGACATGTATTCAGCAAACTGACAAGTCCTCTGCACAGAACATGAGCCACTGCAACACTTGAAAACATTGTGTGATATTTTGTAAGTGCTCTTATGCTGCTTGACAGCTAAATATTCCAAAGAAGCCTGGTGCATACAAGTTCAACCTTTTTCATACAATTCACATACACAATACACTGCAAAGTACATTGTTTGAGGTAACTATTTGTCAATATTAGTAAAGAGGTTTGTGAATTACAAACTGATAGTTTGACATGTACACCTTCTTCTGCTCCATGCATGTGTAAATGAATGTTTTATAAATTCCACTGAACTTCATGCTACTGCAGGAATACCAAGCATAGACAGAAATGTCTAAGTGCTCTTGCTAAAGGGAGAAATACAACAATGTAATGACTACTCAGAATGTAATATGGCTTTATTACATGGACTGTAATGTTAAGGCACCTGTTAGGTTGTGCATGTTCTAACAAAGGCCCACAGTAAATTCATGATGGGAGGAGACTGAAAAGCAGTCACAGCTCATCCTGGGTTGGGTAGCACAGGGCGGATTCAGTCTCAGCAAAGCAGTGTGTTTACAAATTTAGCTATAGTAATTAGAATGTGCGACAATCTATAAAACAAGAGCAGTGTGGGGATAGGTGTAGAAAATGATTTTTTGCTGTCCTTTTCTCTCCACAGCCAACGTGAAGCAAGGCTCTGAAAATGTCCTTCCGCTCTTTGTAGCTTTTCACTGAGGGTTTCTGGGATGTGACATGTCATAAATCTATAAAGCAAAGCAGGATTTGACCGTTATTAACAGAACTAATGGACGGACTTGTAACATACACCCTCTTATCTTTACTGGGATGTACAGACAAGAGAAATTCTAATTAAGTTATGATGTAGGAAAGTTCAATGTCTTGAAAACTAAATGATGGAACAATCTGCACATCAAAATGTACAGATTAATTTACAACTGCAGGTAATTTGTTCAATCACCGCTGTAACATCCAGCACAGCAGTAAATGAGCATCAGCCCATAAATCCAACGGCTGAAAGAAGATATTAAACCATATCATCAAAACAAAAGTAAACATGGAAATATCCAGTCATCATCACCATATTTATGCATGAGACAAGAACAACAACAGCAAATAAAAAAGGTGCATGAGGGAAAACAACTATCACTAGCTTGTGGGAACCAAACTCCACAGTCCTGTTATTTCCAAAGCTCTCCCACTGTACGAACATAAAGCGAGGGGAATGTGAGCCCACCCTTCGTTAACAACACCAGCTGCACACACATACAAACAAGGGGAAAATGGCAGCGGTTCAACTGAGCTCCCTTCCTTTGGTGAGGGAGTGGAGGAAAAGCC